ACCGTCTTATCGCGTGATGTAGAGGCCAGTAGTGAGCCGTTAGGTGAGAAGGCCACCGCGTTCACTGAGTCAGTGTGTCCCTCTAGCTTCTGCATCTCTTGACCCGTACGCGGGTTCCATAGCCTAACCGTCTCATCGTCTGATGCAGAGGCCAGTAGTGAGCCGTTAGGTGAGAAGGCCACCGCGTTCACCCAGTGAGTGTGTCCCTCTAGCTTCTGTAGCTCCGCACTCCATATCACTGGAGTTATTGGATACCTTTGTATCCATGTTGGGATCTGACCACAAATGTTCCTCACTATACTAGTCTGTGGTGCGAAAATCACCGCAGACGAATAAATCTGAAGGGGAGCAAGGTCGACGATATGTCGGTTCGTAAGGATAAACCGTCGCGCGTCTTCAAGAAAGGCTGATAACTGAGTTGACTCATTCACCTATTGCTCATTTTAGGGCTAGCCTTCTCTCTAGATTTCTTAACTAGAGGTTACTTACCGATATAAGTGATTGTAAGTCGCTCACGTATTCAATGACTTCGGCGATCCTATCCATTAGGCTTAGAGCTTCAAGCCAATATAGGAAGTACTGCCGTAAGAACTTATACACTTTGTCGTGCACTTCGTCTTTGTGAGTCCGGTCCATTCCATGCCGGACGTGATACACCCAGTATCGGCACGCATATTGCAATGCGGGTGAGAGACATTTATTAACCGTAGCCCTGTCCACCTCTTGTCGTAGCTGGCCGGGATACTCAAGGTCGCATAGGTTCTCTCGCAGACCGTTAGATCCTGACAGTAGTTGCAGACATTTCATCAGCAGCATTCGATGTGTAGCCGGGCCGTCCACTCTAAAAGGTTCGTGTCGAATTTCGTCGCTCAACAGAAACTCGCTAAAGGATAGGTGAAGTGTCCGAACAGGTCCGAAAAAGTCGTCCGGGACCCTCAAAACAGAATGCAGTGGGCGCAGGCGTTGCCAAATGCCCTGTTGAGAGAAGTCGTAGTGGGAGTCTTTCAGAAGATCTGTTAGGGACGCGATGGAAAGCGGCTCGGCAAGGACAACAATGGATCCGATAATCACGCGGAATTCTTCATAGAGCAGCTCCGCGTCACGTGACCAACTCACCTCTGCCGACAGTTGCTGTAGCACGGGAAGGTATGTTTGCCCTATTGGGGACATCGTTCCTATGCTTTTCATCTCTAAAAATTTCTCTAGCCTTGCTCGAGGGTTCCACCACCTGTTATCACCGACGAATCGACAAATAGTCGCGGCAACGATGAACAAAGGGATAGACATCTCGGTCAATAGCTGGATGACTTTATCGCCAGGCCAGTCATGCTCTAGCCGTGACTCCGGAGGTGTATCATTGTTGTAATTCTCACTAATTTTCGAGAACGCATCTTTCAGGAAAATAGTGATGTCATGCTGAATCGTTGTACGAGGAACGATATCTTGAAGAACCATGTCTTGATGGACTTCGGCGGATATCCTTTTGAATTCTTGTAGAATGGGTAGCTCGGGTCGACTGGTTAGGAGGAGTCGAAGCTTGATAGTCGGCATATGAGGTAGTCGTGACCATAATTCGATGATTGTCCTCATATCGCGCTCGTTCTCACACTCGTCTAAAGCATCCACCACAATGATCAAGGTCGAATGCTGTTTTGGAGTAGATTTGACTTTTTGTAGTGGCTCACGAATCAACGTTTTGAACTGTTCACCCAACCCTTTGGTAGAGATATCTTGGTTGGCCTTAATTGCTTGAGCGACCAGACCATCCAGACCAGGTATTTGTAACACAAGCTGTCTGACGAGGGTGGGAAAGAGCCGTGAAGCTTTATCCCGGTCACGTCTACCCCGTTTGAAGAAAAAGCTGGCTCCAAGGCGGGCACTATTAGCGAATTTGCGGGCGACGGTCCGAGAAATGGTAGACTTTCCAGTGCCGGCCATGCCCTGTAGCCAGAAGATGTATTTGCCCTCCGGGTTGTCTGCCCACTGGTCAATTAGATGGAGGAGATCGACGCGGGTCCCATCGAGGCATGTCTCCGGGTACTCTTCGTCGTAAGAGTCGAATACGGCGCCTTCGACAAGAGTAAACTTATCCACGACGTACTGCTGGTTGGCGTTTAAGGTTGGCTTGGCGTTCCTGGGTCCGTAATATCAGTGGAGGATTTTAGGGAGCTGATATTAGAGGATGGCATACTCATTGAGGCCCTCGATCACCCTTATAAGCTTTCTACTCAGCTCATCTTCGGGTTTATTGAGGCCGGAATGGTCCGTGTCGATGGGGATGGCCGTAGCATCGTGAGTCCGCGCTGAGTCTCTAGTAACAACCTAGGGGAGAAACGTTAAAAAGTATAGATTTGGGAGCGACGGCGATGACACTTACAAGGCCAAGATACAGCCATCCCATTAAAGTGGTCGGCATGGTTTCATAGAAGGAGAAGATTTGGGTTTTCTCTCGCAGCTGTTCCTTCTCCCTCATACGGTCTGCAAAGAGTTTTTCGAGGTCGGAGAGCTCGTCACGGTGATTTCTCAGCGAGAGCAGGAGACCGTTCTCGGACCCGAGGACGGCGGTGATGGTGGCCAGAATGGCACCGGCGACAGAGGCGGACGAGCCTTGGTGAGGGGTCCCGAGGAAAATAATACCATGTGTATTGGAGAGGATTTCTTCCGAGTCACCTCCGGCTCTACATAGGGCCTTTTGTCTTCTGTCAAGAGTAGGGACTACGTGAAGCCGATTACAGCTGACTCACCTTCTTCACGATGATGCCGCCAAAACTGTGGCAGACGAAGATAATGGGAATGCGCTGACAGGAATATCAGTAAGGGTAATCCTGAGAATTGTTAATAATACTGACGAGATTGTCCTTCCGGGCTTCTGCCAGTTGCTCCAGTAGCTTATCGCCAATCTCTTGTGCCGTCTTAACTGGTGCATTGACGAACCAGTCGGAGTTGTGGGCAAAGCTCAGTATTCTAGCCTCTGGGAATTTGGGCTGGAGTAGATCCCTGAGCAGATGCACATGTCCATTGTTGCATGTGTTCACCGATTTGGCCGGGGCATCGAATGTCACCTGTGCGGGCTCTGATGAAGCCATGTTTCCGGACTCTTTCTGGGCACTGTTTGAGGTGCTGCACCATGTGTGCACCGGGTGGGCTCCGAGGCCATGGACTGCGACGATTCTGAAAAATACTATTAGCAGGTGGGTTTGCCGGGCCAGCCTAGATGGGATACTCGCTCGAATTTGGGGTTTTCAGGGTTAGAAACGACTATGATTCCGCTAGGACGTCTCTCTTTCCTACGACCAGAGATTTTCGCAACAAACGGTAACAGTGCCGTCGAGATTAGCACGGTGGTGGCCAGCAATATCGTCAAGGCCACTGACGGGATTGTCCAGGCCATCACTGGCGTCCGAGTTGACCGAGGTTAGCGGCTGCCTAATGAGACAGGACGCAAATTGTGGCAAAAATTTGGGCCCTAGTCCAAGGCTGAATCCAGTTGTGCTTGTGATGGCTAACTGTTGGCGCCCCCGTTTAGAGAGTTGTTTTGAAGGAAGTGCCTGAAGTTAGAATGCGCAGCCTTGAAGGAGTGGGTACAAGAACAGGCAGGTCAACCGAGGATGGTTGCCTTTTCTCGCATGAACGGCGGAGCTGTCCATGCATGTAGGTTCGCGACTTCGTCTGCTGTGGAGATGCACTACCGACGTCCGTCTGTTCCAAAGCCTCATCTCTTGCTGCCAGCTTCGAAGCACTTAACCTGCAGGGTGCTTCCGTGCTGTCGTCTGTGTTCAGCGAAGTCTATCACAACTGTCGTGGCATGCCTAGGATGACAGTAGCGGGCTTGCTTGAAGGCGCTGTTGAACTCATGGTCTCTCAAGCTGTACCGGTTAGTTTAAGTCTCGGAGACTCAACCGATCTGGTGTTATTTTCCCGTGCTGACTCCACAACTGTGCTAGTTCACGACCAACTTACTCCAGGCACGGCCCTCGCCTTGCGGCTGCTGCCGACAGGAACCGCCGGGTGAAGAAAACACCACTGACCAGATATGGTCTGTCGATAGCTTCCCAGCTCTGTACCACCGCCGAGAGGATCGCACTGTTAGAGTCCCTGGCGACACACCGAGCGACTTCCTTGAAAGAGATCTATCGCTCACAAAGTTAGAGAAGGTTCAAAAGCATCTGTGGTTTGCTGGGAATAAACGCCCGACGGCACCACTACACTACCAGATTTCCATTGGGCGGAGCATAACACTTATGGAGCGGATGGATCTACATCTGCTGTGGTTAAACGATGGAACTCTCTTCGTCAAGCCCATGCCGCATTATCTGCTTGATTCCGGTGTGTGGCAGGGCTACCTGACTTGTCCATCTGATTGTGCCAATTGTGCCCGCACGGCGCCGCCAGGGTGTCCCAGGAAGAAGCTGAGGAAATGTGCTATGGGCTTCCTCTTCAGCTTCGCCTGCCTCGTATCCTATCAGAGCGATTTCGAAATCGCGCTCGAGAAGCACCTCTTTCCAAAGAGGAACGACGGCTCCGATCCATGCTGGCAAGACTGGAAGAGATTTGTGAGAGAGGTCATCGCGGCATACAAAGCGGAAGACGTCCATGAGCGGTTCCATCGTGGCGAGCTCCGCCTTTCCAGGCTCAATACGATCCATCAGTTTAGCCAATTGCCGCCCTTCGACCCGTACTTCAGCACCTGGCACCATTACGGCGATCTATTCCGCGAAAACCTCACCTGGCTGGCGACAGCGACTGTCTTCATTGCCCTGATTCTAACGGCGATGCAGGTCGGGCTTGCCATAGAACGCCTCAATACCCAAAAATCCTTTGTCAACGCATCGTACGGGTTCACCATCTTCGCCATGATTGGACCCATCGGTGTTTTAGGCTTGGTATTCATAGCGGCCTTGTACAATCTGTTGAAAGACTTGCCTCATCTTCTGGGTCTGACATCAAAGTCACCATATAAGAAGGTCAGCCCCTCTTCGTTAGAAATACGGCAAGGCAGGCAGACGGATGGGTCGTCCCGAGTGTAGAGTTACTTTCTCCCACTGTAGAGGACAGTATATTATCAACGCCAAGCAACCTCCTATACTTATCATTTGGATGGACTAGAATATGGCGGTAGTAATAAAAGGACTATGGTTGTCTGTGGCGGTTGCTCCTTGTTAGTGGCTCTAGCTATAGTTCATGGCTCCTTGAACAATTGAGAAATTATTCGACCATATAAGTGGAACAACGGATGCCATGAGCATGCATGGTTCTTGTTATCGGTGAGATCAGCACCTAATCACCCCCAACGAAAATTTCCCCTGAGCGGGGCGCGGATCCAGCAGCCAAGGCCTGATTAGGTATTATATTGAGCCTCCAGCCTTGCACTAATAGTAGGTGCCCTGCGAGTTAACCTTAACCGATGACACGGTGATCGCTGGTTGCGCACATCATTTCAACACCAGCGTCTCGGGTGGCTGATGTGCCCACAGGCCACAGCATTCGAAGGCTTTGCGGCGCACCAAGACCTTGCTAATACGTGGTGTGCGGAGTTCGGAACTGCCGGAGCGACGCGTGTGGTTTTATTACCGGACTGCTTTTTCGGTATTCGGTTGGTATTAGGAAAACAATGACACCGAGCTGCCGCTTAGTCATGCTCAGATTAGACGATAGGCTGTTATTGATTAGGCATAGCACAATGAGCTAATATTTTAACTCTCCGTGTGGAGAAAGTTGCAATGTGTCAGCAAGGGGGAGGGCGGTTTCGGGAACGACTGTATCTTCATGGTGATGAAAGCAAGGATGTTTGCAAGCGCCGCCCGCCCGCCGCCCTTCTACTAAACTCGGCAAGGGTCGGGAACCCTGTCGTGGTTGAAGGCGGCCATTCATGGGAGACCATAAGGAGTTGTCGAGGAGGTTTTAAGGGGCCCCAGTATGTTCTTGACTCTTTGCCGATTGGAGGGGCGTTCGCTTCAAGAGAAACATCATGAGGTGTTGTTGAGGAGGTAGGAAGCCCAGTGCGTTAAGGTAAGGAGTTTTTCCTTCTCCATTGTCTCAGATTATTGCATCTTCACCCACCAGTGGGTAGTCACCACACTAGCAGGTTCAGGAGTTTGACAGGTGGCCATGCACTTATCATGGTAAAGGAGGAAGGAGAGGGAGCTTTCGTAGAGGCGGTCGCATGCGGCGGCCAGGCAATCGTCATGCTAAGAAGGGAGAAGAGGGAGCCATTGTGGTGGCGGTTGCATGCTGCGGCAAGGTGTAGAGGAGAGTTGGGGATGTGTTTGTGAAGGCACCTCTAGCCGAGACCACTCATGCTCATGATATCAGGTTCCGAGTCTGTCATAGGGCACCTGTTCCTGGAGTGGAGGGTTAGCAAATGCGGTGTTTGCAGCCAGACGGTGGTCGAGGGACAACGGCAACTGGGGCTGTTTGGCAACGACATACTCTTGCACACAGATGTCTGACAAGCTCCAGGAGTGTCTCATAGCGATTGTATAGAGGATCGAAGAGCCACGGGCTGAAGACCAGCTCAAAGGAACGAGGCATGTTGTGGTACATGGCGGACGCTCAGGAACCACCGAGTAAACAACAAGCCAAGGCAGAATCGCTCACCGCCTTGGGACGGGACCAATACCGCCCTGTGCCTCCATTTTCATGGCGATTAGACAGTCTAAAAGCGGCGAGCCATGTGTACCAGTGAAGCTGCGGACAGCTCTTGTCCATTGTGCTTCCTCCGGCACTGCATGCGTTTGCCGAAGATGTCCATGATGCGTCCTCCTTCCAAAGATCATGCTTGCTCTGCATTGTTATTGCCTTTGGAGCGTTCAATGCTGGCAGGATATCTTCGTCACCACGGCAAGTCCTCGTCCTCTGCGCCATTGCGTGCGAGCAAACCTTCCGTCGAACACGATCTCCTTCTCCCTCCCGTGCGAAGATTGACACCGGAGCAATCATGTGGTTGTGCAAGAGCAGACACAAGAGGGGCAACACGGCGTCGTCCAACGCAAGCATCAGAACGGCCTGTTGGGGGCTCCCTGTTGTCCCCCTGTCATCCCCCGTCGCGTCGTCATCTCGGTCAAAACATGAAGCAACCGTTGGGCGCTGTATTGATACCAACCTGAACAAAGAGAGACATTGGTGCATGATGGGAAACAAACCATTCCACATCGTTCAGCAACACAGAGTCGTTTCCTGGACAAAGACCATCTGGGCATCTGTCACACCGTCATCAAGAGAATGGACTCCCTCACAAGTGGAACACTGCACTCTCTGGTACCGTCGTTGTAGCAGAGCTGGCCTTCTCAGACTGGCTGACCATATGCACCTCAGACGACGCGTCTTTCCAGTCACTTCTGCATCGGCAGCCATGTTCGTTCACATACGTTTCTCATTGCCGCTTGTTCAAGGGTTCCCGGGCATCGAGACCTTTTGATGCCTTCGCTTTGTCGCCACGCCGCAGTCTCGTTGGAGCTTGGCACTTCTTGCTCTGCTCTGTGACCAGTTCCTTCAGAAAACCTGTTCCTTTCTCGATCCTCCTTTCAAGCCGAGGACCCCTCGCCAGCCCTCTGACGAGCGGGAGCTTTAAGTATCCCACAATATGCCACAATAGATGTAGAAGCAAAACCTAGGTTTGTATCCAGCTCCATCCGTCGGAAACCCTCGCATCAGCAGCAGCAGTGCGCCGGCCTCATTGATCTGCCGATTGTGTGTCGGGATATGCTGCCCCGAGTTCGGAATGCAACTTCTGGGCGAATGGGCATGGATCGCTGGTGCCCAGCGAGAGGTAAACAGTCTTTCCATTTGATCGCCTGTACTGACAGATGAACTTTCAGCTCTTGACCGGCGACCATTGACCACCTTCCTTCTTGCCAGCCAGATTGCTCTGCTTCCATGCCCTCCCTCCTCAATCACTGCTGCAGGCTCCTCTTGTGCGGCGAGATATCCATCAGACTCTAGAGCTGACACCTTTCCGAAAAGACTCGTACTAGACAGCCGCCGTTTGCCACACCGAAGGACGCGACACAGTTCCTTGGCCGTCGACTGCTCACCTTTGCACAACGAGTCCAGCGTGACTTCTTACAATAGACGGTACAGGAGGAGGAGCTTGCTTTATAGGTGGATACATCTCGCTTCGAGGTGGACTCATACCCCCTGGAGCACTGTCCAGGTTGATCTGACCCGTTCAGCTTTCGAGTGTGTCGGGATCTGGGGTTCGTTCGCCTATATGTTCCCTTTTGAGGATGTCCTGTGCCCATTGTGCTCCTCTCCGACGACACCGCAGTGTTGCCTCCTGTGCTGTCAAATTGGGAACACTCCTCCCTGAGAATGCATCGCAGACTCCCATCCGGAGAGGCCTCCGACATGCTGCTACTGCGGGGTTGTCTGCCAGCGAGCACTGAACTCAAGTCGGCGGTTCGCACCTTCGCAGGCTTCTCCTAGGCTCGACAATATCAAGGCAAGCCACCTGTTTGGAACTGCAAGGCCACAGAAAACCTACGAAGAACAACGCAATTGGCGGCTGTATCGAAAAAGGGTCACTGTCTCTTGCTGCACTGGCCCATGCTCTCCAGCATCCGGTGCACCTCGGCGTTCCGTCGTCCGGCTTACCCCTGGGGATCGACTGCATATGCATTCTTGGAGCAGCCCTGTCCCTCTCGCCTGCTTCGGCTGGGCGACGCATCGACCAGTGCTAGCATGGCAGGATTATAGCTGGGATGAGACACGATGATGCTGAAGTTGGGAATCACCGACCAAGATCTGCACACAGATGGATGTCGTGGCTTACAAGCAGTTCTGAAGGTCGAAAGGGAGAGTGTGACACACGGCACTTACTGCGAAGCCTGATCGGTGGCTATGAACGGTCGATACTGCAGGTACCTCGCCCGGCAACACCGTCATGATCACAGCAAAGCCAGCTTTGGAGTTGACACCACCACGTTCCCAACGCCCTCCAGCGTGGATAGTGACCAAGGCAGACAAATAACGGGGATTTAGAGCTGCGTGGCGTTGCGCTGCGACAAGACAACTCGACACCACCTGAGACAAACGGCAGAGGTTGATGTCCGGGACTCTGGAAGGAGGCTTCATGCTCGTCTTCGGCCAGAGGTTGGGTTTCTCATGGCTGCGAACCTGTGGCAGATAGAGCGATCCTACTGGAGAAAGGCTTTGATGCTGCTTTCTTATGCCCTGGATGACCGTCCCTGCTTTGCACGGAGTGCTAATCTGACCTTCACTATGCCGCACTCGACTGGCTTAGACGAGAGTTCAGACTGTCGGCGATCAGGCACCCGAAAGGAAGAAAAAGCCTGGGAGGCGGGCCGGAGTTGTCAGCAAGCCTTTGAATTGGCATTCCGTGGCTTCATTCCGTAGCGGGACACAGTCAAGCGTATTGGAAGAGAAGCTGATGAGTGTTTGGCATCATTGGGGCTTGTCCTCGTCCTCGTCGCGATGCGTGGCGCTACAGATGCCACGACAAGCACGTTCCGAGTTTCTCCAGCAAGTGGTCCCGATCATCTCCCTCCACCGAACAGATTGGATACTCATGTCGGCTGCACGATCCCATGTCCCTCCAGACGTCCTTCTGGTGCGGCGGCACTGCTCAAATCCACGCCAGCAGAGACCAGTGTGGGAATCAGAGGTTGCCAACTGTGCTCCCACGACCCCCCTGCAGCGATGGGTGGAATCCGCCCAAGCTTTTGCAGCCTTTGAGGTAAATGAAGAACGGCTGAAGGCACGAGCCCCTGGACGAGGAATGATAGAACCGCGGCGTCATGGCAGAGGAGGTTACGCGGAGAAAAGAACATCGTCTGCCGTATTTCGCACGAGATGGATGCACAGACCCAAGGCAATCCTTGACACTCGCAGCAGTCCTCTTCGCAGGCTGTACTGAAAGCCACATCATGCTCTACACCTCCATCCATACTGCAAACTAGCCGCACAAGTCTATACCGCACTTGCACCATCTCCGGCTTCAGTGATGTTACCAAGAATCAGAGAGAGGAAGGATGAGAGACAAAACGAAGCGCACCTGCAACGAGGCTGCCGCCCAACATGAGCCTCTAGATGCCGTCATTTCAATCTTAAACAGTGGATTATTCGACGCCATGCACAACGCAGCTTGCGAGATGCTCGAGTCGTCAGAACGAACCGCGAGCGAACAGCACACTTACGGATACCATGCGCTGCAAGACTCGCGGCCGCCTGACACGTCGCTGAGAGCATCGCCATCTCCCGAAGCCAAGTGTTCTGTTGGACATCGGACTGTGTGGACCGTCATGTTGTGGCACTGGAAACCGTCAATCCTCGCCCCTCAGATGGCTGTGGGCGAAGGAGACGTGGTCAGCCTCCACTGAACGTGCGCGCTCGTGTCCGTTCTCGACTCTAGCGACCTTGTGTTGCAAGTTATGCGACCCGAACTGCGGTCCTCGACGTGAAGCAGGCTCTCTAGGCCACGCATTGCAGACACGGCATCAGGTGACACAGCCCAGTCGATATCTTGTGTCTTCGGGACTGCTCCGCTTTGGACAAGCTTCGACAACGAATGCCAGGCACATAGGTGCTGGCCTTCGGCAAGACGCAAGCGTATTGCTGTACTCGAGACGAAGTGCTCCAAGTGCGATATGGGGAGGAATGGGGCGAATGTCGCGGTCATAGGCTCATCGTATGGGTTCGTCTTCGACCCCGTTGCGTTCGACAAGGGTCGGATGCTTCGAAAACGATCGCAAATCTCCCGGAATCCGAAGCTGCAGCAAGGGCTGGATCGAGAAGCCTTCGTCGCCGAACCAATGCTTCGCCCATTGAACATTTTCTCATGTCCAATATCCGTACTTGGCGCATCAGACCTTGGAATCTTGGAACAGTTGCCGTCTCTGCCAGAGGCGGGTTCTATCGTTTGATGCCTGGCGGAATGAAGAGGCGGCCAGAACCACTCCGAGCAACCGCTGTCCTGCGACAACAAGCTGACACAGAGCGTAAAGAGGCCCCATTCCGACCAGATCCAACAGCAGGTGCGCTAGGTGAAAGCTGGCAAACAAACGAGAAAGCCGCAGGGCAGCAAAACCCGGCCGAAACCCACCTGTGCGCTTGCGAACTGCGCATATTCAATCCTCTGCAACCGCGTGTCTTGAAGGGTATCTCTTGGTTCTCTAATACAGCTCCTCGGGACGGCTTTGTACCTGGGTTTCGACAAGATTGAGTCTGCGCATCTCCCCTACTCAGACACACCGCGATGGTTTATCATGCCTCGTGATTCTCCTTGCCGTGAGACGGGAAGTTGTGGCGTACCATCCTTCCGCAGGTGTGACCTTGCGCCGACAAAGCTGTCGCGCTCTCGAAGTAACCTGTGGCCACTGGGAAGGTTTCAAGGAGGACTTTCCCACCTCGGAGCCGCGCCGTTGATCAATGCCAGCCTCGCATATGGTTTCGACTTTGGCTTGGGCAATGGGAAGGGTCCAACCGGTGTCTGGTTTCTTGCGGAGCATCCCCACGACCTCGCTGATGAGTGTTTCATCGAAGATGATCATCGATGCCGCGATAGGGCGTCTGTGGCTGTGGGTGGGGTGACCTTGCTTTCCTTGGACACAGTCAACAGATTCTGCAGGATGCTGTCAGCGTTGGAGATGACAGCTTTCTGATGGCGTTGCAGCACCAAGGCAATTGGTACGGGCATAGCCAGGAAGGGACATCATGGAAGATGGCATTTTGTGTCTGGTGGTACGGCCTCCGCTGCCCAAAAGTTTCTTCCTGTGGCCAGAGCCGTTGTTGAAGGTATGCGACAATTACTTCAGCGCTTGCGTTGCATCGTCGAATGGCATGACTCGGTGGGGGACTCTGCTGTCGAGTGTGGCCACTTCTCAGATCATTGGCGGCGGCCAGACCGACAAAGGTGACAGAGTCAAGGCCGCCTGACTATGGAACACAATAGACAGAGGGCTTGGGAGAGGCAGGCCACGCCGAGAGCTGGCCGCGCAAGACATGCTCATCCGCCGGCGCAACGGGAGGTTGGAGACATGAAGATGGCGATCAATCAGCTACAGCATCAAGCCGGGCCTGTCATTCTCAGCAGAACCATCAACTTCTTTGACCGCTTCTCATGCAAATCGACGCGCTGATTGACCCAATGGTCGGTCCGCACCTCATCCAAAAGTCCGCCCGTCTGACAGAGCATTACATGGTCTGAAAATCCACGCGGGCCGAGTTTCTGTGTCCTCGTCCTTCGACGCTGATGTTCTCCAGCAACGCTGTGTGGCGATTGAGAAGCCTCTCACGGACTGGGTCATGGATTTGGTGTCATTCCGAGAGATTTTGGTTGCCACCCGCCCTGAAGAAGCTCCGGCTCTCTGTGCCCCGATCACCGACTCAGCCCACTGCACACATCAAACAGGAACAAGGTCAGGGCCCAAGATCGGACAGACAAGCGTCCTGTACAGTGAGGATCTCCGGAACACTAACCGGTTGAGAGAATTGATCTGGTTCCGAAAGTCCAGTCTTCTGGAGACGAGCGACTCCCCTCGAGAAGAGCATCCACCGTCTGGGAAAGGCGTCTTGCGGGACGTGTTGAGCACTCACTCGACTGTGAAGGCGGGTACGCGACTGCGGGGCAGAACTGCATGTCTTTCCGCCTGGGGTCAGGCATCCCCCGATCTTGTTGGACTCATCTGTCTGCGTTCCCAGATCTATCGTCCTTACAGGGATATAGCACATTGTCACGCAACACCGCCCTAATCTCAATCTTGTGCGGTATGAAGATCATCGCAGCACACAACGCTGAGAGAGGAACCCATTTGATCTGGCCAAGGAGGGGCCCTGCTCTTGACCCCCGCGAAAGCGGGCAAGGTCAGAGCCGGCATCGGTTCAGGCATCTCCATATCCGTGTTGCCGGACAACCTTCAGCACCGGGATCGACAGTGGTGGCGATGTCGCATACTCTCTGTCCGGCGGGAGCCCCATGGCTCCTCGAGCACCATGCCATACTCGAGCTGAGTCGTGCTAGGCCGACTCGTGTGCATTGGTGTTTGGATCGTGGTTTGTTTGAGCCCAATCGCGTCTCCATTTCGCTCCTCGCCTGCCAAGATCCCGTTGTGTAGTTCTCCTTGACTTTCGACCATGGAGAGACCAAGTCCGACGCGTCTCCAGCGCTGAACGAGAGCATGGAAGTCGAGGGCCGTGGCAGTATCGGGAGACTGCTCAAAAAAGGAGAGATTTACAACTTTGATATAGTGTCATTACATTAACATAACAGCCGCACGAGGTTGACGAGGCTGAAGATTCGATCCACGGCGACGTTACGGCCTCCTGGCTCTGTTCTTTGCCGATTTTCTCTCGGAGAATGAGGCGCGCGACATGCAGAGCCATTTCAGGTGTCCTGGAAATCATTCCGCGCGATTCTGATCACTCCTTACACCGCGCTCAGCAGAACGGCACGCTGTGCGGAGAGACGTGTGGCCCTTCTGGGTCGTCCCGTGCAAGGCCCAGCCAGAGCTTGGTACTTTCGGTCTCTGGAGAACGCCCAAGCGAAATCAAGGCACCTTGTGGCCGAGGCTGCATCATTGTCGAGAACTGTGTGCTGGTCGTCCGTTCGTTGCGGCCTCGAGACGAGCCGGCAACAAACTGGATTCGCTCTCGATGAGGTGGAAGCCGATGAACGCGAGGGCCTCGACGCGGTCCGGGTTGATGAGTACAGCAGCGGACAGTGTACGCTTTTCGGTGATGGCCGTCGGCTCGAAGATCGACTCGCGCTCGAGAAGCTTGATCTCGTCTTGACTGGAGCCACCCTCTTTTGTCGATGTTGGTTTCTCGGAGGAGGAAGACATTCTTGTTGAATCGGTCGAGGTGCAGACAAACGAGAGTCACTGAGGCTGTATGAGAAGTGAGGATGAAAAGCAAGAGCAACACAAGCGGCCAAGTGTGAAGTGTTTTTGGAGAAAGAGCTTTTCTGAGCCATGAGGACCTGAATCTGCCCACCGCCAACGGTTTCGACCAGGCTCGAGCCTAAACAGTGATGTCTGTGGTCCAGCCAAACTCTATGCCAGGCTAGACCCAGGCGATTTGATATGGGTCGTGCAGCTATGCATCAGGAGCCCAGTTACAACGGAAGCTCGCAAACAAGGGCGAATCTGTGAAGCGCTGGATCACTGGTCCTCATGCGGTCGCCAAGCTTTACTGGGAAATCGTCGAGGTAAGCCCCAAATCATTCTTGGAGACTGACGGAGTTCAGATGCGCGAAACGAAGTCGAGGCCGTGACTCTCTTCCTCGAGTCTTGGCGAACCTTGCGCCATGCCATTCGTTGTTGCGAGCGAGTGCAACCCAACCGCGGGTGCTGTTTCCGTCCGGCTGGTCTGAGTCCGTGCAGAGAGGCAGCGCCCTTGGTGCGGGTACCGAGGACCTGGTAAAGCCTCGAGGCTAGGTCAACCAGCAGGGGGTGTGGTTTTTACCGTAACAGTCTTTAGCGTTTGCTGATTCTTGCCGGGCCATTGCCATTATCGAGGATTGCGGCAAACGCAGCTGCTTTGGCATCATGGCAAAGGCGCTTCTGTTGTCGACCGCCAGCCGAAAGCAGCACAAGAGTCGGTTTCAACCGTGTGTCTGTGTTCTTCGTTGGAGAATGGGTGATCTCGACCGGTCCTTCACGTGGCTCTCTGTTGAGTGAGTGTATCGATCAATACGGCGGTATGCTGGGCGATATGGCCGTTTGCCACAGCTCAAATGTTGTCAAGTGTGGCAGACGGAGTCGTTGGTTGTAGCAACCGGGCGAGTTTCTTGCATGCCTAGCCCGATCGTGACAAGATGTGACACAGGGACAGCGGCAAACACTCGTGGCCCAGCACAACTCAGCATCGTCATCAGTCGCTATATTGGCACTTTGCACCGATTTGCAACTTCAAAGGGTTCGACTCGACTGCAACTTGGGTAAACAATGTTCCCTTTGGCTATCTCTTCTACCTGTTCCACCCAACAACAACAACAAAGGCCCACACAAAGCCATCACGCATGAGTTGCCAATGTATGACAACTGTTGAGCGTTATCCCTCAGCTAAAATGAGGTCTCGATCCGTTCCTCCTAGGTTCCCATCTGGCCCAAGGTGAGAAGCTCGGCATTCGACCAATAGACGGGCCACCCTCACCGGCCACAGACTGGCCTGTACCTGTGCCGCGACCAAAAAATGAAAACAGAACAAGTCCAGCGGCATCTGCAGGAAAATGATGCGCGTGTTGACTTGGAATCAAGCGCCACTCAAGGACCGACAAAAAGTGGTTTGTAATTTGGGAGAAATCAAATCGTAGCAGGCGAGTGTTCATTCGGTGCAGCGGCATAAAAAGGACCCCAAAACGATAATTGACCAAGTGTAAGTAGTAAACATGAGATGAAAAAATTCGGCAAAAACAATCAACAGTCAGGATTCCCACCTGGTCACCCACGGTAGTACTAACTGACCGGCATGTGGCTTAAGTACGGCTGAGCGAACGGGAAGCCCTGTTTTCCACATCCTATGGTCGATTGCGGAGAGAAACGCACATGAATAAATGATATGTAGGAATTTAGGATCTTGAATTTTGTTGAGAGTGCTTTACTTTTGGCTTGATACACTGCGGCAAGAATGCAAGAAGCTCGCAGCGTGTCTCGAGCTGGAGTGTTACTGGGCTGCGTACTGGGCTACCGAGGCGCACCTGTAGCCCCGGGGGGTTAGCAGTAGTAAGCGGTGGGAAGTAGGCCGCGAGGGAGCGCTGCTGGGGATGTACTGCTGGGGATGTACTGCTGGGGATGTACTGCTGGGGATGTACTGCTGGGGATGTACTGCTGGGGATGTACTGCTGGGGATGTACATGTCGAGTCTGCATAGCTAAAACAGCACCTAGACTACTGTGTAGTGAAGAGCGCTGGAACAGGGAAAGCCAGGTGATTTCGCTCTTCCCAGACACCCTTGGAGATCGTCATTGTTCCCTGGAAGAACACAGCTACAGCGCAGCTTACCATCAACTTGGCAGTCGGGTTCATCCATATGCTTGCGACCTCTGACATTTCTGTC